ACTGCGAACCTTCACTACGTTTTCCTACTGTCTCCGAAATATTCACTGCTAACCTCTAGATTCAATACTCAAGGACGACCGTCATGGAAATGTTTAACATACGGATGATGATGATAATCGTCATGGAAATGTCTAACATAGATGGCATATAGATTATGTTTACTTACGAAAATATCTCATGATTTTCTGGTGGAAAAGAATTAAATTGAACATAATAGTTTATAATTTTGAAGGTGTGGACGGGTCAAAAGGTAGGAATGTATAATGCATTGAAGGAATCAATATGAGAAACACAGCTGTAAGGTTGTCTGCCTGATAATCGGAGGATTGTGGAAGCAGTATGACTGGTTGGGGATACACTAAACCAGACCAAGGCTATGAAAATTATATTTGTTATGGAAAATTAATGATTAAAACAAGAGAGCCCTTCGCCCACATGGATTAGAATTGTCAAGAAGACAGCTATAACCACCCCATGATGGAATAGCAAGGGAGGATGAGAAAATTTACCTCTACCCATTGGGAAATAATGGTGTGAGGCATGAATAAGGTATGAGTTATATGGGCGGGCCAATACCTATACTACTACCCGTAGTAAGAAGTGATCTAAAATTTGGAGAGATAATTTTACAAATCAGGTAGCAAAGAGCCCTTGTTGGAAGAAAGAAACTCCAAATCCTCAGCCCAAGCCAGTCTTGAATCGAAGTCAATATAAGCACTTTGGACAAATTAGCAGTTAGTTGGAGTGCCATCTGAGGAAGGAACTGTTGAACCCCTGTAACCTGCTGCCAAGAGAATTCCTAAAATAAGCCTTATTCCAGAATTAACACCGATAGACAAAGTGTCACTATAGAGAATTGCAGTGGGAATGGTTTTGTACACTGAAAAACTGCATAAAACCAAATTGAAAGTTGACCCAAGACTGTTACCGTTTGCATTTTTGCAAAGAGACATTACTTTTTTTTAAAACACAACATAGCCAGCTCACTGAGATTAGGTTCAATGCAACAGTTGCCGCTGTAATCAATTCTGCTGACCCTGTGATTAAGAAAACGAGCAGGGCATGGTGGACCCAATGGTGCAGCGACCAACACCAATGCTTGAACCACAAGTGACCGTGCAGCCTGGAACTGACCAAAAAGGTCAAATCCAGAGGTGACCCAGGCCCAACAGGTTATAATGGTATCTATAATTTGAGTATCTCCATTCACTGGGTGGACAAATTTTTCCTTATGTATGATTGCAGAATTTACTGGGTATTCGGTGGGGGGGTGGGGAATAGCACTGTATGGTGGCCAACCATGTGAAGTTAGAAATTGCTTGTAAAATGTTCCCCCATTGCTGGAACTAGTGTTGATGTTTTATCTGTAATTGTTTGAATAAAACAGGTTCCCAAGTCATTTTCAATCACACCAAATACCAAACGTCCTTGGCACATCCCACCGCCATTATATTAACACTTTCTAAAAATGTTTCATCTAATTCAGCGATTGTTTCACTTCCGGCAATTTCAACAGGATTGAGTGACAGATGCTCATTGTGTTCCATCCTGCAGGTTCTGACCAATACAAGGATGGTATTACCAAATTGCAATTCCAGCTTCAATCACTGCATCTTGCTGCAGAAAATGTTTGGCTCCAGGAGAAAATAAAAAGTGTTACTTGAACGAGATCCAATTTAGGAAAAAGAAAGAAAATAAAAAAGAAAACATATATATATATATATATATTGATTACTGTATTGTTCTCACTGTATTTATGAAATCTAGTATCCTTTCTGTTTAGTCCACACTGACATTTACCTTTTGGCAATTCAAATTGATTGACAATTAGTTGATGCTTTGCCATCCATTCCAAACAAAATAATTTGTTTGCTTCGTCAATTGCTTTAGTCAAGGTGCTTAGTGACTACTCATCATCAGCCAGTACTTGGCTGACAATAGATAATCTGTCGGCAGATTTTCTTGGCATTTTTTTTTTTTTAAAATGACCAAAAATTTAACTTTTTCAAAATTATTGTTTTCGGGGAAAAATGATTAAGACAAAATTAAAATCTTACGTGTTGTATCAAAAAAAAAAAAAAAAAAAAAATTGGAAAATTAAAACATGAAATAATCTGAGCTATAAAATGTATTATGCCCAGAAAATGATATTCAAATTGTTTTATAATTCAGTGATACAAAATTATGAATGAAAAGTTACTTTTCATAGTTATTTATAAAATGGTAAATAAACTGTGGCGATTGTATAATTGATATAAAAAAAAATTTTTTTTAATTTTTAAGATAAAAGCTGAAATTGGGGTGCATCTTATATGCAGTCAAAAACAGTACTTTATTTTTTTTTTATAAATTTTTTTTAGAAATAATTTAAAATTCAGGATAAAAATAAAAATTAATTTTTGAATAAAAAAAAAAAAAAAAAATTAAATTGTAATTAAAAATAAAATATGGATGAAAAATAAAAAGCTTCATTATAAAAAAAGAATATTATATATTTTTCATATACAAAAGAAAATTTTAAAAGAAAAAAAAAAAAATTAAGCTTTAATGAAAAGTGAAATGAAATACTATTACATGCAAATTATTTTTTCTTTCTTTTTTAGCCATGAACATTTTTACACTTTTCAAAAAAATATTACATACATGCATACACAATATTATACACACACACACACACCATATACACTTGGGTAACACATGATCCAGAGTTACATGTGATCTGCAAATTTTCACTTATAAAAAAAAAAAAAAAATTGTTTTATCATATCTCATGTATCATGCAAGTTCCTTTTTGGAGAGACCAAATTACAATAGACTAACATCTTTTCCTCTATCTCTTGATCCCATCTTCTATTTAAACAAGTTAAAAATTAAAAATGACTAACATGTATCTTGTGTGAGTTCCTTTTTTGAGAGACCAAATTACAATAGACTAACCTCCTTTCCTTTATCTCTTTATACCATCCTCTAGTTAAATAAGTTAAAAATGTACGAGAATGATAAAAGTATCTTTAGTAGTGCAATACTCATTGTATAAATGAATACAACCGAACAAGAAACAGCTAAACATCTTATAAACAATGGAAAAGATGCATATTTTTCTATGTTTGTATTTTATAATACGATACTAATATGTGAATACTACATGCATTATTATCGGATACAGTTAAGTAAAACCTCAGTTTTATCAAAATCATGTTTATTTTAAATACAGCTGTACATTTTGACTACAGTAAATTGGTATATCATTTAGTCAATGGCATAGCCAGGGTCAGCAGTACATACACTAGTTTTATATTATGCATGATGTGACTACACTTAAAATTAGCTTTAAGTTTTCAAAAGTTACATGATACACAAGTGTATATATCTCAAATATGTGGTGCACTTTAATTTATATTACAATGAATCATTCATACAAAAAGTAGATTAGTAAAGTTAGTGATATAAAATGGCGAAATTCCTTCGCTAACAAAATTTTGAAGATGCATTAACCTACAAATCACTCGATGAATGTTATGATCCTTGTTTTTTTTTAAATTATAAAATGTATTAGGTCTTCCTTAAATATGAAAGTACTTTTGACTGTACATTCAGTCATCTTCAGGCATGGAAATTATTTTGTTTTTGGTAAAATTCTGGTAGCATCCAAGACAAAAAAAAAAAAAAAAAAAAAATGCAAATCAAAATGTTTTTTTTTTTTTTTTTTAAATGTGTTATTGATAATGGATACAAACTTGTGGAGCGTGCAGTCGCAAGGCTGAATTTTTTTGAAAATTTAAGAGAGTGTGTTTTTTTACTAATATGGCAATTTGAGAATTTTTTGTTGTAGGAGTTTATCAGTCAATGTGGCATGAACTAAATAGTTCGATAGAGTAACGTCTCAGTTGTTATCCTGAAAATTTGCATGTCAGACAACTTTGTTGTCAATGTGGAATGAACTAAATAGTTTGTATTTTTTTTTGTTTTGTATGATTCATTGTAACATAAACTGAACTGCACCACATTTGATTTGAAAGAAGTCATCCGACATGCAAATTTTCAGGATAACAACTGAAACATTGCTCTACTTATCGAACTATTTAGTTCATACCACATTGACTGATAAACTCCTGCAACAAAAAAAAAGAAAAATTCTCAAATTGCCATATTAGTAAAAACATACACACTTAAATTTTCAAAATAATTCAACCTTAGCATTGTGACTGCACGCTCGACAATTTTGTAGCTGTTATCAACACATTTACTAAATTTTACCAAAAATAATAATTTACATGCCTGAAGATGACTGGATGTACAGTCGAAAGTACTTGCATATTTAAGGAAGACTTAATACAGTTTATAATTTTAAAAAACAAGGATCATAACATTCGAGTGATTTGTAAGTTAATGCAACTTTAAAATTTTGCTCGCAAAAGGATTTCGCCATTTTATATCATTAACTTTACTAATCTACTTTTTGTATGAATGATTCGTTGTAATATATAACATTTTTTATAAATTTTAATTAAGGAACTTTCAAAAATCATTTGACATTGAATGAACTAGGATTAGTAAAAATAAACTTAAAACTTTTTTTTAGTTTTTTTTTTTTTTTTTTTATACATGTAGTTGGAGTTTGGTTAGTTACAAAGTAGTTTTCGTATTTGTACATATTTCCCAATAATTATAAAATAAATTCTCTAAGTAGCAATTGACCACTGGCGGGCCTTAACCCTTTAGCACTCAAAACTCTCAAACCCGACCCATAAACATCACCAGCCAAAGTCTCACTATTTGTGCAACTTTCTGTGTCATTTGCAATGATGCTGCCATATATCGTGGCAGTATCATGTCCTAATGCGGGTCAGGCAGGTTGAACATTGAGATCCGATTTTTTACAGGGCAGGTTGAATGCTGAAGAGTTAAATAAGTATAGATAAAGGGAGCCATTTTCGATTACAACATGAAATATGGGCTGAAACACTAAGACTTAGCACATCCGACTTCTGGCAAAAGATTAATCAAGGACATAATTCATCATTGACAGTTTGACGACCTTTTCGCGCTTTGTGCCCAAAGATTTCTTTTTTGACCTCTCCTTAGCTCTTTTTACGCAGGCCTTGAAGAACCTTTCAAGTCTGGCAGGGTCGTACTTTGGCGCCCTCTTTGGCTTTATTATCTTTGATTTAATATTCTTCTCCTCCTCCTCCTTCTTCTTCTTCTTCTTTCGTCCAGGCTTCTTTGGATGACAGCGCTTCGTGTGAATGTCCAGCAGTCTGCGGAGGTCAAAGTTCTCGTCACAACTTTGGCAAGAATATTTCATTTTGCCATGGACCAACCGACAGTGTTTCTGGTAGTTCAGCTTCGTAAGGAATACCAGACGACAAATCTGGCAAACGAGGCTCTCAGAAACTGGAACCGGAAGTCCGGGATCTGTAGAGCTCTCGTTAATTCGGACTTGTCCGGTGGAAGAATTTTCATCCCCGCCAGAATTTCCTGCATCCTGTCCTTTCCCAGGATCGCTTTCACCTATAGTGTCAGAGGAATTCGCAGAAACTCCAGCATCAGCGGAGACAGTGGGAATGGAAGATGGATCTGTGGAAGGCAAGGAAGATTTTCGCAAAGGGTTCGGATGGCCGGCGCGGTGTTGAAGAAGCTGTTTGTAAGTGGGAAATGCCAGCTCGCATGCCTTGCACTGATACGGAATGTTCCGGTGTGTCCTTCGATGGGGCAGGTATTCAAGATAATAGCAGAAGCCCTTATCGCACACATCACACGTGAATACTTCCGCCTCTGGGTGGACATTACGTACGTGTTTAGCCAGCCGAGACGACAGAGCAAATCTCTTGCTGCAGTATTTGCACATTTGTTTCCAGCGGTCTTGTCCAGGTTGCGAAGAAGTCTGCAATTTTCGTCTTGTGCATGTCCCACCCATCAATTTCTTGTGCATGTCAAGTAAAAACAAGGAACGAAATCCACGCCCACACTGCTCGCAGGAATACTCTTTACTGCTATGATGAATAACCATATGCTTCCGCAGCCACTGTTTATAGGCAAACATCTTTCCGCAAAAGCTGCAATAGTACAAGTTCTGGGTATTGTGCAACCGTGAATGTAACTTAAGGCCGACAATCCTGGAAAACCGTTGGTCACAGACAGAACATACAAACGGTTTTTTTTCAGTGTCCTCCTTGGCACCATCTTCTGGTAACTCTGGGTGCACTTGCAGACAATGTCGGTTCAAGTTAGACTTTGAAGAAAACGATTTGCTACACTTTGTACACTTGTGGCCCTTCGACTGCTGGTGAGTGTTCTTTTTATGCGTCAAAAGATTGTTTTTCCAAAGAAAATCTCAACTTTGGCATATGTTACAGGTGAAATTCTGCTGTTTCCGGGTAGGTAGATCGCCGTGCAGCGAATTCACGTGTGCCTGGAGATTCTGCTTCCCACCGAACGATGCCTGGCAAAACTCACACTTGAACGGCTTCGTCTCCTGGTGGGAGTTCTGGTGTCGCTTCAGGGAGGACTTCTGTGAGAAAGACAGTGAACAAGATGTGCCTGCAGGGAAAATGGTTTTACTTTCGCGTGAATTCTCTCATGACGCTTCAGAGCGGAGGACTGTGTGAATCGGCTGTCACATTCCTCACACTTGTAGGGCCGGCTTCCATCATGCGTCCTCATATGCTTCTCAAGGTCGACTTTTTGAGCGAATGCAGCATCGCACGTCTGGCACTGGTGTTTGAAAGGGCGTTTTGAATGTGTTTTCAGGTGGTATTTCAGGCTCTTGTAGTGTTTGTAGAAACGGCTGCAAATGTGACATTTGTGGGGAGCCTCAGTGGTGGAATCGGAATCCTCACTCTCGTCTTCTGAGCTGCTGTCAGGCCTATCCCATTCCCTCAAAACAAAATCATCGTCGGAGGAGAAACTCTGTTTCTGCTTCTTGGCTTTGAGCTTTGTCGTTTCTCTCATGGAGACGAGCTTTCGCTTTGCATTCCTCGCTGATAACCGTCTAGCAACTTTGGGAATTACTAAATGTTTCTGTGACGGACTTGTAGATAAATCTTTATCTGCAGACTCCTTTCCTTTCTGGCCCAAATCCTCAGTTGAGCATTCTTCAGGACGAGCAGTAACATCATCCTTTGGCAAATCCATTGTCTCCTTGCAAAAAGTCAAAGAATTTTTTTTAGATAAATTCCTTCAGGTTTAGAAAAATAAAAAAATCCTCCTGAAACAGTATTCTTTAAGATTTCCTCGGTGCTAATAAGGAAAGAATGTTCCGACCGTATTTCTTCAGATTTAGAGCCACGGTCTTTCCTGATGAAATTACAGAATTTAAATGCTCAAGTTTGCAATTATATCTTTTTACCCCCTGTTTTTTTTTTTTTTTTTTTTTTTACATAAAGTTCTTGCACAATTTGATAATCATGATTTAATTTGCAGCATGACTGTCCTATAGAAAATAACTTCTTACCATTCTATAGTAATACCAAAATCATGAGTTCTTTTCACAACAAAATGCCAAATGTTAAAAAGAATGAGTGAAAAAATTAAAATTTCCCAAGCAAGTTTTCTTCCATAATTTGGATAAGAAGTCAGTTCTGGGTAGCAGTATTTAGATTTGTGGCTGACAGATTGTCTGAAGGATGGTCGTGGTTTTGGATGGGTAGAGTGTAGATTGAGCAGCTTTCACTTTTGATTGCCACAGGACCAATCTTCCCAGCAGGTAAAATGGAAATCTTAAAAAGAAGAATATTTAAAAATGTAAATAAATGATGTTACAGTCAAACATATCTAATTTAGAAAAAACTAAAGAAGCAATACGCAATAAATACGAAAAAAAAAAATTATTTACAAAATAAAAAAAAAAAATTATTTACAAAAAAATTATTTGCAAAAAAAAAAAAAAAAAAAAAAAAAAAAAATCTTTAAATCAAATAGAAAAATCTTTAAATTAAAAAGAAAAAAAAAATCTTTAAATTAAAAAAAAAAAAAAAATCTTTAAATTAAAAAAAAAAAAAAATCTTTAAATTAAAAAAACTTTAAACTGGGTTAAAAAAACAAAATGAGAACAACAAATGAATATGTAAAAAAAAAAACTTCAAATATACAAATAAACAAAGTTATGGAAACACTAAATAGGCAAAAGATTTTTTAATTTAAACAGGCCATATGTGATTGAATATTTCTACATGAGTATTTGTATATGCACGTGTGTATACATATGTATATATGTGCATATGTAGAGGGGCTTATTTTCGGTGAAAATGGAAAACGGACAGGGGGGGGGAAAAAACGGAATGGCTTACTTGAAACAGAAATTCTTTCCTCTAACAACCAGATTTGCCAACTGCCACTTTTATTTGTTACTATGTTTACCTTTCCAGACTCACAAGTCCCCCGCCAGACACCAAAGGATTAAGTAAGCAATGTTTTAATACTTCCCCCTTAACTACGGTCTCTAGTTTAATAAATACAGTTTACAGTATTTAACTTTACCCTGAAAACTGAAATTACATACGGGGGATCCAGAGATCCATTCTGGCAAGATGTAACCAGATTTTCGATGTAAGCTGAGTCTGCTTTACACTTGAGAGCCATAATGAATTTCAAAAAGTTCCCCACCAAAAGACAACACAGACCAGAGACGGCAAGTGTAGCACAATCTAACATGGTGTACAGCAAGTGAAGAAATAATGTCTTACTCATATAGCATCACATGATGATATATTATGAGCAATGGCACTGTAACCATAAAATGCCATATGCTGGGTCCAACGCAATCCAAGGACCTTCTGTATACTGTTACAGCTGGCACAACACAAAATAAGATGAAACAGATTCTTAGAAATTAAAGTTGAAAGAAAAGATTACATGTAATAATGAAAAGTGGGTTTTATTTAACATATAATACAATATTTTTTATAAACAGTAGGGTTGAGGTTTAAACAATATATGAAGGGAAATGCTAACAAGTTAATAAACTTGCAAGAGACCAGAAAGTAGTTTGCTTAACGTGTAGCTATATGAGGGAGTAGAAGAGGAAATCCAATACAGTTAAGATTAAGGTGGCGGATGGGAATTTGTCCTTAGTCAAAGAATCATATTATTTTCTTAGAAAAATAATTAGATATTCACATGTATATAAAATAAAGGAGTTTGGTTTGGTTTTTACGGAACAATGGGTCATTTAATGCCGACAAAATTTTATTGTTGGTAATATTTATTTTTAGATCTATTTCTGGAAATATTTTTCCTTCAAAAATTTCTATTTCTGGTAATTTTCTTTCAATTATGTATTGCTGGTAATATTTTTTCTTTTTGAAAAAAAAAAAAAAAAAAAAATGATGTATAGCTGGTAATATTTGTTTTTCAAAAAATGCATTGTCTTTTGGGGGGGGGTCTTTTGGGTTTTTTTTTTTTTTTAAAGACTTTTCTGTAGATCCCAGTTTCTTTAATCAAATTTGTTTCTTGGATTAGTATTTTCGAATAGATCCTTTAGGTTTTCTGATTTGTAGTGTTTACTACAGATTCATTGGAGATTATGGTAATTTAGTAGGATGTGTTCGACTGTATAAGATTCTTGGCATGTGACACATGTTGGAGGTACCTCATTTTTTAGATGCTGGTGGAAAGGAGTTTGGTCAATAATATCAAGGAAAAAAGGTGAAGCATTTACCGATAACCTTTTCTTTTTGAGGACTGTCGGAACTCAGGTTCTTTCAGTCGAAGCTTTGTTCATGAATCAAAAGGGACCAAAATCGACCTCAGTAGTCGTGGCTGTGGGTTTTGAAGGCAACTGGTTAGTTGGTACGAACTCCTGTTTATATATGTTTTTTGTACCCTCTAGAACCCAGAAGAAGTTTCTAGAGACTAAAGGGGTTGGTGAATGGGAGCTTTTCGTAAGGTAAAAAGGGCATCTAGTAACTACAGTTTAAGTCATCATTTTGTATTTTATAGTGTAAGTGTAAGGAAGTAGGACAAAATGGGGCCTCATAATAATACTCAAGTGACACTTAACCATAGAACAGTAACCATCAATTAAAGTTACACCTCTACTAACCATGGGTATATCATACCCAATTTTGAAAATATCAAAAAAAATATTAAATATAAATCTTTATTTGAAATATTTTACATGCAGGCACTTCAAATTTTGTACTTTGAGTTAACATTAATAGGAACTGAAAAAACATTATTTAGGTAAGAAAATCAGGTACTGAAAATTGTAATTAAAAATAGGAAAATTTGCGCTGGGTACTATATACCCATGGTTAGTGTTCTAGGATTAAGACCATAAAATAGATTAAATAGTTTTTTTTAACACTGGAATTATTTGAGGTACTGTATTTGACGGCATATAAGGCACACTTTTTTTCTTTTTAAACTAAAAATATCTTTTAAAATTCCCCTGCGTCTTATGCCATATGTAGGTTTAAAATTTGTGATAGTCGGCCAAGATTAGCTACCTGGCAACTCCTATTATCTTAGGACTTAAACATGAAGGGGCAATATCACTGTCAATGCCTGATCACGACCTTACACTTACAAGAAGAATGAAATGACCCAACATTGCACAAGTCTGCGAATGGATGAAGCAAGCTTGGGATAATATTAGACCAGAAATTGTTGTGAAATCTTTTGAAGAGTGTGGCATTAGTAATGCTCTCAATGGCATGGAAGATGACGTATTATTTACTGACAATGATAGTAGTATTGAAAATGAGTATCAGAGTTTTGATAACGAAGACAATGAATTTTATGGACTTGAAGGGGAATAAAACTTTTATCGTAACTGTACTGTTTTGCTCAATTGTAATAATCGCTTGATTTTTATTTTATTTTTTTAACTTTGGATATAATGAAATTTTTATAGGCTAGTGTTTTTTTTTTCCTATTTTTCGTTTAATTGTAATCATGGTTTGGTTCACTTTGTTTTATGGCATATCAACCTCAATGGGTTATTTAATGCCAACAAAATTTTTTATTGCTGGTAATATGTTTTTCTTCAAAAATCTGTTTCTGGGAATATTATTCCTTGAAGAAACCTATAGCTGGTCATATTTTTTAATTTATATTAAAAAAAGTTTTTTTTTTTTTTTTGAAAAAAAGTATTATTTTTAATTTTTCCTAAAAAAATTTTTTTTTAATATTTTTTTATTTTTTTTTTTTTTACAAAAAATTTATTGGTATTAAAACCTATTTTTTACACAAGTTTGGGTGTCAACTATTTGCCCATAGCTGGGACCCCAACAGTGAATGGAATACTAAAATAATTTCAGGGTGGACCTGGGAAATTTATACAATTAAGATTTGGTTCCACGATTTCCTCAAAACCTGCTGATCAGTGACCCCCACTGTTGGGAAAAAGTTCATCATTCTACCCAGGTCGCAGATGTAGTTTATCGTCATACCCAGGATGGTGTAATCATAGCTTGTTTAACCAAAATAACACCTCATAAACATAGCCTAAGCTGTACCACTTACAAATAATTTTACTAATTGTTAATTTCTTTCTTGATTTTTCCTTGCTGAAATTAGGGTGCGTCTTATACGTCATCAAATACAGTAATTGGAATCCCAAAAAAATGGATAATTCTGTCATTATTGGCCTTACTTTCCATTATAGAAACTTTTCCATTGTGCTGACAATTTTATTTGACTAAAATGTTTCCAAAGTTATTTTTCCTTATATCTCTAATATGGAAAATTATCAAAGGAATATTCAAACGTTATGGATTTTATTTATTTTCACTTCATATTTAAATTTTTTTAGCATTCTGTGAGGTTGCAAAAACAGTTTTTTGCCACTCTCACTAATTTTTTTTTTTTTTTTTTAAAAGGAAAGAAAGTAGAATTCTTTGCAAGTATTATTCAAAATTCATTTTAGTTAGATTAAGGCAGAAGCTAAAAAAGAAAAAATCTTGATGAAAAAGTTAAAGTTTAAATAAAACAAAATTTTATTGTCTAAATGTTTATGTTATTATTAAGAGGAAAGACCAAAGTTTTTTTAATTATTTTTAAAAAAGGAGGATTTTTTTTTGAAAAAAAAAAAAAAAAAAAAACCTTGTTTCTCTTTGTATCACCGGAACTAGTAAAATAACAATTTTTTACGTTTTTTTTTGGTATGACACACATTAATTTGGAAAATCTTG